GCCCCATGCTTGGGCTGCCCCAGCGGCCCTGCTCCCTCGAGACCGTGGGATGCTGGAGGGTCTGCAGGGCATCATGTGCAGGCCAGGGCATACTGCCCGAGCTCTGTACCCCACAGGGTATGGTCGTGACCAGGGTGGCTCCTGCCTGGGGTGTCCCACATGTGGGGCCCTGCGCTACCTCCTGGGGCACTGGCTGCCCTGGGACCCTGCGCAGGGACCCTGGGAGATGGACAGAATCCAGGGTACCACCAGCCCCTCAGCTGGGCTGGAGAGCCCCACGCCAAGGTTAGGGAGAGGAGGCAGAGGGCAGGGAAGAACAGGAAAGGCACTCCATGCAATAAATACCACTAGCATTGCAGTTAACTTGTAATTTCATTTTAGCTTTATGGTTACGATGTTAAAATGCACAGCTGTTTCTTTTTTGGTGGTCACCTGTTTCAATTGCATTATTCTTTAATTTTTCCTTAGCTAGGTTTCAAGGCTGACGTAACTCTGTGTTTGCATTAAAGCTAAGCTCTGGATACTTACTATCCAGTAAATTGTAAGGAAACAGAAGGCTGTAGCTAAGCAAAATACGGAAATACTGGACAATCTACCCAGGGCTGCTAAATTATTGTACTATGTTTCCTAAGTAGCAAGCACAGATTTTCACAAATAGAATCACAGAATCATAGAATCAAATAGATTGATAATTCACTTGCAAAACCAAACAAAATCCACTTCTTTTAAATGAATCTGACAATATTAACCAAACAGAAGAGCAATAATCTCTTCTCAGAGTTTTTCAAAAGGTACACAACAGCTTCTCTGCCAGAGCATATTCCGTGACATCTGCTAAATAACATGGGAAGTTGCAATCGATTGCTCATTATGGTTACCACACATGGCATAGCTGTGAGCAAATGTGGCATTACTGATTCCCCTTGACCCTGTGCTGTGATAATATAGGTGCAGTGAGGGCACCGAGGGCATTTGCTAGTTGTTCACATGACCCAAGGTACCATTTTTGTCTACTCCCTGTGGGCTTGCTTATTACTTTGCAAATGTTGTTCAGGAAGCCACAAACCTGCATCTCAAAATTACATGCCAAGTAGTTTTGGATGTGGTGACACCTTGCCCTGAGACCTTTCAAAGGTGTCAGTTTCTTGAGAATAATGGCAATGTCCATCTGTTCTGGGGAAGGTTCTCTCAGGAGGTGGTACCAAGCAGCTGGGGTAAGTCTTCTTCTGTGGTCCACATGGGACTGCCCCACCACACGTGACTCCTGTCCCTGCTGCAAGTTACCTCATGATAGCCGAGTCACGGCTGTTTCTCAGTCAGCACTTGAGTTTGGAGATGACACTTTTGAAGGGAATCACCCTCCATCCCCCCTTGCCCTGCGCTGCGTCATGTCACAAGTGGCTTTGAAAGCATGCAAGCTGAACGCTTTCTGATAGGTGAAAATAAACTAGAAGCTCTGCTCCAGGAACACAAGTAGCACCCTTGAGTTGGTAACAGGTAACCTGTCCACAGAACTAAGTCCGATGTATGAGAGATAAGAAATATAAGCCTGTTCAATGCTCTGGGACAAGGACACTGCCCCTAGTGTGCCCAACGCCATCTTTCTGCCATCACAGATGCCCTGCCTCTGCTTGGCTGGGGCAGGTACAGCCACTATGATGCCCCGGGCTGTGCCACACACCTCTCCTGGAAACTCCAGTGCACACTCAGGGCCAGAGCAGCAGTGGTGACACGCAGCACATCCCACTGACATCTATTCACCCTGACAGCTAAAGTGCAGCCTACAGTGATACTTGCATCACACGCAGATTATCTTATGTGCAGTAAACAACAGCATGGCCTGTCCTTCACAAGCCACTGACCACAACTCCCCGCCTGTGCCTGCAGAGCGCCTGTCCCACATGGACCAGAGGTCACCGGTCCCAGGGGATATCATGGGCGTTTTAAAGGCAAAAAAAATACCCATAAAATAACACTCTCTCTGTCCTGTCCCCTCCCGCGCTCCCGGGAGACCGTTACGGCCGTTACGCCGCCCCCTTCCCCCGCGGCGGTTGGGGGCGCTCCCTGCGCGCCGCGGGGCGGCCGTGACACATCGGCGCCCTCTGGTGGCTGCCCGGGGCGGCGCGGTAGCCCGGCGCTGAGGTAGCCCGGGAGGGACGGAACGCGACGCGACGCGCCGGGATGGGAAGATGGGTCGGGCCCTGGCGTAGCGCGCGTGGCGGCTCTGCTGCGTGGAAACGTCTCTTGAGTGCGAGGCGGCGCCTTTCCCCGCGAGGCACCGAGGCGCGCGGAGCCACCGTCCCTGGCGCGGCGGGAGGGGTGCCCACGGCTGCAGGGGCGGCGGCTGAACCTGCCTTGCCACCGGTTTATTTTATTTTATTTTATTTTATTTTATTTTATTTTATTTTATTTTATTTTATTTTATTTTATTTTATTTTATTTTATTTTATTTTATTTTATTTTATTTTATTYTCAGACCTCAATATCCAAAATCCTTTTGCAATCATTTGCCAAAGACTATTTAGTTCAAATAACTATATAGTTATTTAAATTTGAATATATAATTATGTAAATTTATTTATTCAGCTTTTGCTCTGAAAAGAAACCCAATGTTCTTTTAATGACCTTAGTGTCTACAAAAGTGAAATTTGAAACTCACATGTAGTCTGCAGTGCAGCCTTCTATGTTTCTCACGTTTACCCTGACCACAAGATTTGACATTATAAAAACAATGCCATGATTACCCTGTGAAACGTGCTTTTCCAGGCGTTTGTGGGGGGGGGGGCAATGGGGGGAAGCCTCTGGCTGGTGACTGGGGGCATTTTCCGGTTGCAGGAGAGGGGATTAGACAGAAAGCTCGATCCCACCGCAGGATTCATCAAGCCTGACCTCTGCTCCCACAGCACTAGCTGGAGTCAGCAACCTGCGGACGAAGGGCAGGGATCTGTCCATGTGGAACTAACCAGGGAGTGGGGACCTTCCAGTTTGCTGCTGCAGAGGATGAGTTTGCGTCTGTGTAACATCTGGAAGAGGAGCAAGATATTTCAGGAAAGAGCCTTGTATTTATTTTTAGGTCTGCTGATCCCTCAGTCCTGCGGACATCATGCTGGATGCAGAAGACCTGTGTTTTTCCAGTTACATGTGCTACCTACTAACATCAGGCCTATTGGTGCTAAATGCCTTACGCTCCATGTTCCTCTGGTGAGGAAATCTCGTGCTTGGTTAATAGTCACTGTTTGACAGTTGCTAATCCAGCTTTGAGCCAGTTTGAATGCCCTGTCCCAAAAGTCACCTCTGCTGGGGTAATTGCCAGCTCTAGCACTTGGCACTTCTAAGCAAGCAGGACGGGGAGGTCACAGAAGTGGTGCACGGTGTGAGTGCCTCTCTGCACCCAGAGCTGGTGGCAGGTGAGGCTGGTGGGTGCTCAGTGTGCAGCCTGGCAGGTCTCATGCCCACCTGCCCTCCTGAGTGCTTGCCACATGGTTTTTGTGGCACCTTAGCTGCAGAGGCCTCTGCGTGCAGTTTGCTTCTGAGCGAGCAGGTCCTCACGCGTTAACGACAACTGGCTGGAACTGCAGCGGCCGCGTTGGCGAGCTCGCGCGTTCAGGAATTGATTGTTGCCTTCAGCTGTGCAGCTGAAGCCTGGAGAGCGGCCTGAGCGCACTCCAGTCACGCAGCTCTCTTGCGCTGGACTGTGACCGTTGCCCTCCAGCAGCGCTTGGCTTGAGCCCTTCAAGGAGACAGGCAGGAAATACCAGCAAGGCTCCTGCACACAGCAGGTACAGACCCGGGCAGCTGGGTCAGGGCACTTCTAGGCACGCTCCAAAGCTGAACTTCAGGCATGCATGGAAATACAATATAAAAATTAAAAGACTCACGGCTTGTTCACTGCCCCGTCGTTTAGACCCGCCCCAAGCAAGGCTTTTCAGGACCACAACTCTGGATTAGAGCTTATGCATATCCGTCTTGTGTTGGATCTATTTGTAAATCCATTTGTGTCTACAGTGCCTGGAATGATACTGGTCCTGAAGAGAGAGCTCGATCATGAAAATTCACTGGCTGCTTTAGGGGGCACCTCCAGCTCTGAGTGCTGTTCCTAGGCCCCACCTCCTTCAGGAGGGCTAGCACCACAGCTGCTGCTCTGCCTCCGTGTGCAGCAGACAGCAGCTATGGCTGTTAAAGCTCTCAAAACCCATAGGACAAATCTCTCTCACGGCTTCAGGAAAGCCCTATTTTCATCTGGGACTTTAAATTATTAATCATTAGGGTTCTCAGTGGGAGATGGGCTTACATCCTGTCAGGCAGTGAATAGAACTGAATTTGTAGCGCCTACATTTTGGATGCATGCAGAATCTTGTAGATGTCTGTGTGGAAATGGACAGAGGGCCCTATTTCTACTTAATCTCTTTTGTAGGATGCCCTGGTTCAAGCAGAGAGCTTTGGAGGTGCTTACCCGAGTGGGTGCTGCTGGAGAAGGAAGCAGAGGAAGTCCGATCTGCAGACTGGGCTTACTCGCCAGTGAACTAGACTGAAAAATTAGGCAGGATTAAGATGTTACAGGCACTTAGGCAGATCAAACCTTTGTGCACTTTAGAACTTTCCCAAGCAATTAAGAGGCAAAATAGCTCAGGAGTAAATCAAGTGGTTTCTAATGATGAGGAGCAATTATGACCTTCTACAAGCCCCTTGTGCATTCACATCTCACACTGATTTCAATAGGTCTGAAATTCAGGACCTCTTGAAAGGATCCATTGTTTAGGAACCCTAATATGGATTTAGGTCCCTTAGTGTAATAGCTTTGCTATTAAGCTGCATAGCAAAGGGCTAGCAAATTCTGAGGGAGAAAATGTAAGAAGGGGTTGTTTAAACATCTCCAGTGACACTGAACTCCGTATCAGGACGAAGATGTCACTTAGCCTGCAAGTGTTTACAAAAGAAAGATATTTAGGAGTCAAGAAGCTGACATCTCTCAGAAGTGCAGTCCATTGTCCGTGCTTATTTTATACTCTCCTTGAAGACAGTGGGTAGATTTCCTCGTAACGGGGGGGTGACAGGTCATTGCAGGCATAGTCTTCAAGAAATTCTTCTGGCTCATCAAAACTGTCTTCTGACCTGAAAGTAGAAAGAGGAGCTGGAGCAGAAAGAAAATGTAACAAACACCAAACATAGCAGTAGCCTCGTTGGTGTGTCCTGTCAGCCTTATCCAGGCACTTCCTGGTTTCAGTGAGAGTTTTGCTTGATGAAATGATGAAGTTTTACTACAATCTAACCATTTGTTGTATTATATGTGCAAAGTATAGCAATGTCAAAATGTGACACCTTGTCACACCAATGTCAAAATTTGCACCCTGCCTGTGTATGTCACCCATGGTGGTGAGCACAATGGGTTAGCCAACAAATTTTCAAGTACCCTTTGACAAAGGAATTAAATGAATTATTTTCTAGAAAGCATATTACTAAACATTGCTATAAATTATATATATTTATATCGGATTAAAGCAGTTTCATAGATATTGCTCTGTAATATCTGTGATCTGTATATACCCCCAAATAGGAATATAATAAAAGTTGCTACAGTGGGAGAGGAGAGTACATAATTAGCAAGGATAACACCCGATGCTGAACCAATCTTCTGCTGTCACAAAAACACTGTTTGTGCACTAGGTCTTGTACTGTAATTCTTTTTAGGTGGACTCATCTATCCACACATGTAACCTTCAGGTCAAGAATCATGAAATAACATAAGAAATATATTTTATATATGTAAGAAATATAAGCATAAAAATATACAGACAGAAGCTTATATAGTAATATCTTTGAAAATAACAAGATATTTAGTACACTGAAAATTGAAAGAGATTCAGAATTGAATTTAATTTGGGTGAAAATACTTGCAGAAGCTCTCCATAGATTTTAATGTAGAAATGCTACTAACAAAGAAAAAAAAAAAGTCTGAAGGATTAGGCCCTCCCCTGCAGTATGATTTGTTTCCTTTGAAATCATGTTTAGTATTTAAAAATATTCAGAATTCTGTGTCCACGTATTCTAAGGCATTTCAGAAGACATACCTCTGAGTCCGCGTGTCGTCTGTGAGATAAGGGGAGTAGTTCTCATCCTGTGTAAAAGCTGGGTTATCAAGAGGGTAGGCAGGGCAGAACTGAGGAGAGTCTGGGCTAGGAACTGGTGAGGCACCAGAGGAACCAGCACTGCAGCAGCTGAGCATGGGGTGCAGGTAGGGGGGGTTCACAGCAACGCCTTCCTGCACTGGGTATGGTGGAGGGATGTACTGTACCACTGTAGCACCGTGGAAAGTTATAGGCTGGTTAATTCCTGTGAAAACAAAGGACTGTCCACTTGCCGTCTGGTCGACTTCTGATGTGTTCTCATCTCTCTCTTTACAGGATTTGCATGTAAGCATGTTGAATTTGCAAACAGCAATCAGAATAAAAGTCACGCCGACAGAGAGCAGAATAGGCCCCAGTAACTGAGTCCATTCCAGGTGAGTAATGCCGTCGTATTTTATCCATCCCATCACAGTGAATGTGATTCCCACCAGCCCCAAAAACACACCTGAAAAGAGCAAAGTGGCACCAGCTTTATCACCATCTGACACCATGACATCAGATCTGTTAGGCTGATAAGGAGTGACAGAAAATACATTAAGGGAGAAATCTTCTATGTTGCTGTTGTTCTGCTCCATTCCTAAGTGTAACCTATCTTCAGCCTCAACAGAAGAGTGTTTGTAAGGGCCTCTGCTGAGTATATAAAGTCAAAGGTTCAGGTTAATTATACAAGAACTTTGTGTGTGTATGGTTAACAGGGTCCATCATGTGAAAGAATAAACTTTGCTTAGAAGAATAAAGGTCTGGGAAGCGAGGCTTGAAGTGATCACTTAAGATTTCTTGAATTACCACCAATGCTTCCGAAACAACTTCACCCTTGCATGGTTACTTGTCCCCTTGTTTATCCTCTTCTTTAATTTGGCACCCACTGATATTTCCTCCCTGTGCCCATGACAGACAGGAGAGAAAGGAAGCTGCAGACACCACAGCTTTTCCTGGGCCCCGTGCCAGCTGATGTGTCCAACATATGGACAGCATATATTTAGTCAATAGCACTGCGATGACTCCCTCCCTCCCTCCCTCCCTGTCTTTGGGCAGTCACTGACAGCCCAGATCTGCAGGAAAATACATGGCCATCATGGTGAGCACTTCACAGTGTTCTGAAGTGTGGCATTTATAGTCACATCTGGACCTGGATTGCAGCTCTTTCTGCAGTCCAGAACTTTCATGGTTGAAAAATATCCAGGTAAGCTTTCTGATGTTTTGCCAGTAAGGGCTAGTGGCTTGAGCGGGAGAGTAAGCAGAAACAGAGTGGGGAGTACGGAGCAGCCTGACAGGTCACAGGAAACAAAGTTCCTTCAGGCAAGCCGAAGCTTTTCAGCTGTAGGAAGGTAGCGTAATTACTCTGTGATTTCCCAGAGGACATTTAGATTTCCCAGAGGACCTCTATCCTTTCCTTAGAGCTTAGATTGAGCAATGCCTGCATTCCCTAAATGGTGTACACCTGCAGGAATGAGAAAGTGTCTCCTACAATGTTAAACCTTGCAGAAGGTTACCTTGAAGAAGGTAAGTTCTGTGTTCAGAAGTTCAGAATATTTATTTTTCAGTTTAAATTTTTCAGTTTCAATTCCTTTCTGACAAAAATATGTAGATAATATATTCTCTGCTTTCCATTAATTCCTGGGATTTCCTGTTTGAAACAGGCCCTGCAATAATGGTAGGATTAATACAACATGCTGGCTGCAGCTAGTTTGCAATCTGCACAACAACCCAAGCTGTTGTCAGAATCTTACAGATCTCCTACTACTAATTTAAATACCTCAGACTTCAGCAGGATCAAGCCCTAAGCAAGGATACACTAGGATTGCTTTCCCATATCTCATATAGTAAGCAGGCTGATTAATTGGATATTGAGATTTTCTGTTTACTAGTAGTTTCAGACTAAAGTAATTGCTGTCCCAGTGTTCTTATAGAATGTGTAATTCCTTAACAAGCAAAAATCTTCAACTATACAATCTGCTTAGTAAGGGAGTACAAGCAAAATGGAGATTATTCCTCAGGTAGTAGAACGTATTTTTGTTAATAGTAGCTCTGTGGAAGCAAGTTTATCCTGAGATTTAAAAAGTAAAAGTAGCCTTAGATCTAGATAACACTTTTTTTTTTTTTCCAGGCTGCTTCTTCAGAATTAGTAAAGGTGCTTTTACTCTATTGTGCATGCTTATCACACAGCGTGATATGTGTTCAGTTCTGAAGCTACTGCTCACAGAATTCAGTGTTTCCAGTATTGATGCTGAATGCAATTGCAGATGTATCTTTCTCTTCTGATTTGTCAGCAGCTGGATCTAATGCTGGACTCCTTAAAACATAATCAGGAAGTTGTCAGAGCCTGTTGTTATGGCTGTTCCTAAAGTCTTCATACAAATGTACTCAAGATCAGGCCTTCCCTCAGAACCAGCTCTAGCCAAAGCACTGCACACCACTCAATCAAAGCATTAGGGCTCACAATGTAAGAGCATCATATTACTGCAGCTATACAGAAAAGCTCTGAATTGTCAGATAAGCTCCCATTATGAATAATAATAGCCCAAACGAAGTCACCTTAACTTTATATTGGTAAACTAAAGGTTTGCTATTCCTCTCTGAAAGTCAGTTTTTTATCCATACCATGAATCATTCCTGTCTTTGTTCATTGAGTCTTCCAAGTTTTCCAACATCCCTTTTAAAGCAGTGTTATATCACTATAGCTGTCTCACCAATGACATAAAGAGATGTAATATCACCTGCTTACTCTCCTTGAACCAAGAGCCGGAGCACCTCTGCTCTCCTGTGCAAGGAGCGCTGGGTGCTTACTGGAGTCGGTGTTTTCCAAGCCAGGTGCTGCAGTATCTCGTGGCTTTCATTCCATGTCTCTGGCTTAGGACCTATCTTACTGGCTGACAAGATGGACAGCTGGAGAGTACCAAGGATTTCTTCCAACACCCCTTGTCACTTGACTTTGAAAACAGAATGAAAAATATTTCTTAATATTTTGTACAGTTGGATCTAAATTTAAATTCTACTTTTTCTTGTAAACTGTATCCCTTTGTCTTTAGGATTTGATGTACTCCAAGCTTCCCATGTTTCTCCCATTACATTACTGTAGCAGTGTTACATTCAGGTCACTGTCAAGATCTAAGAGACTTAACAGATCACATTTCTTTCTTTTTTTTTTTTTTTTTTTACTCTGCATTTGTTTTGCTGAGTAAATGGATATTCTGGAATTCACTTAAGATGGCGATTTCCTAAATGAGTCCCTTTTATAAGGGAATAACTGCTGAACAAATTGAAGCAGTTTTGTAAAATGGAACAAAGTGGACTGAGTTGATTAGGTTTCTAAAATCTTTATCTGCTTTGTCATACAGACAAAATTACATCTCCACTATCTTCAAGTGGTTCCCTGGTTTATTTCAGGATCTTTTTTTTCCAAATGGATGTTGTTGGCAGATACTGCTGCAGTATCAGATATTCAGTTCTGCTTCAGGGACCTTACGCCTCTCAGGCTGGCACTGCTTTGCTTTCTGCTGCTCAGCATAATTTTCCACCACTAATGCAATCTTCCCCTGCAGCGCTCGCTGTTGGGAGCAGATTTTCTGTAGTGCTCTGCACTTCTTCAATTCTCTAACCTGGTTCAAGAGTCATTCTAATATACACTGACAGGCTTCACTTAATCCTATTTTTATTCCTTTCCTTCTGCTATCAATTTTCACTTAGTCATTCACATTCTAAGTCTGTCATAGTAAGATTGTATTTTCTTACATGCTGTGATATAGCCAAGGACCTGCCAGCATTAAAAGGATGTCATATAAAATAAAACTATGTTGTATTACAATATTACACATTAATCAGCTTTAAAAAAAAAATGAAATTATCCCTCCAACCCCCCGTCATGGGATATTCACTTGCAGGACGATATCGAAACCAAAGATTCTATTAGGAAGGACTTTTTTCCTCAAGAAAGTATGCTGTATTTGGCATCTGTATTGAAAAATATGAAGGAGCACCAATCTAGGTGAAGACTGACACATCACTTGCAGAAACATGTTGGTTTTGACAGAAGAAACTGCCTGGGTAGAGAAATGCCCATGAGCATATAGACCATGACAATCCCTGGTCATAAAGATGCAGTGGAAAAGGGATAGTGGGAGAGGTGCGCAGAGCAATAAATGTGGATAGCAACCCTCCCTTTCCCATGGAAGACTTAAGGAAACAGCCAAGTACCTGGGATTTTATTTAGAAGTTTGACTAATGGTAAAGCAGGAATGCAGATTCCTCCTGTGCCTCAGGAAATCTTTCAGACCTGCTTCCTAAGGACAGATCTACAACCCACAAGGGGCTGGGGGGGTGGGTGCAATCTAACAGGGCCTGTGTGCAGCTCTCCTGATAATGCAGCTTCGCTGTAGAGACCTGCGAAATGACAGTTTGTCAGGTAAGTTAGATTTGCAATTAGAAATGCTGGTGATGAAGGAAAAAAGATTTATTTTAGAGGCATTTATTTACCTATCTGTGAACCCCTTTCATGTCCAAATGACTGTCATGTTCCAAAGAGAAGCAGAGCCATGTCAGTGAGTCACCAATGAAGACAGACCTCCACTTCGCCTGCAGAGGGTAAGCAGGCCTGACCTCCCACTTTGTTTAAGTAAGTGGGAATCAGTAACTAACTTAATTTGCTCCCTGGCATTTGTATGTCAAGCGCTTCAGCTAACCTTAGGGCAGGAAGAAGGTTATAGCACCATTCGTGTGATAGTAAAATATGTCACTTCCTCCATGAAAATGCTACTCGGTATTATTTTGAGCTAATTTTACGGTTTTACAAGGTGTTGCTTCCCTTCTAATATGGACATTTAACCCTCTGCTCCCCCCATCAAGAATTCCTTCTACTAATGCTGTTCATCCAGTGCTAGCGGTGGCGGCAGATTGGCCAGCCTCTTAATCACATTCTCTAACCTTACTCAAATAGATCTCGACACAGCAAACAGACACTGTCGTCCCGGCTGTGTTAGTTTTCCATTAAGCTGGTTGCGGAGATGTACCCAGCACATCCAATGAATTTTAGAGGAATGACCTCCATATATGCAAAAAAAGAAAAGATGCTTACACAGCTGCAAGTTATAGTGTTCACTAAGTATCCTCTCAATATACAGAGAAATTCTGTGGAGCCTCTTCTTGTTTTTATTTTTTTCCCCAGAGGTATGTAATACCTACCCCTCTCCATAAATTCAGATGCAAAGAGCTGACTGAAGAGTCAGGCCACCAGCTTTAAAAAGCCTGCTTTCCATGAAGGTGGGCTTTTGTTTGTTTGTTTTTAGAAAGAAAATGAGCCATGCTGGAGATTCCGCAATAGAAGGTGAAAGCAATAATGCTGAAGAGGAAGGTTACGTTTCATTACCCGAGGTCTCAGCTCAAAGTCAACATATGTTACTTGACTTCTCTGGTCTCTTGGGTACATCTTCTGAACAACTGACAACTGACAACACAATTGCTGACAACACAAAAGGTTAATAACATTTCAGATAGGAATCAGATATGACTTTTTTTTTTTAAGAAAGAAAGATTAAGCATACTTTAAAAACAAATCCGTGTTTTCATTAAGCACTCATTGATTTTTTGCTTTTCAATAAATGAGTGT